CAGTGTGGAATGGTCACTTGTCCATCTCCCAGTGAGCTTTGGTGAGCAAATGCTGGAAATGTGCTAAGGATGGTAAAATTTCAGATTTTTAATATGAAACATGCAGATTTAGTCCTGAAATTCCACAGAGAAAACAAGAGAGAGATGGGTTACATTGTTCTAYGTGAGTTTTTTCCCTTTAATTTTTCCCCCTCCTGAATGTTGTGTTTAATTTGTTGCTTAACCATTAAAAACAGGGAAAGATTTATCTCAGATGTTCCAATGCTTTAGTGAAGTTAACTTGCTTATTTACCCCTCTGAATTCTACCATAAGACATTTTAAAATACTGTATATAGATGTATATTTTTACATGTTTGAAAGTTGGGTTTTTTTCCTTAGAAAATAAAAATAAATGGGTAARTGGACATGGTTTTCAGGAGGAAAATTTAGCTGATTAGGATCTAGAATGCTGGTCTAGACTGGAAACTGCCTTATACTTCTGGATCTACCAAAACCACAGGCAGTGAAAAACAAGAATCTCTTTTATACAACTACAACCCACTTTAAATGTTAAGAAATTTTACGAAAAAATGCCCAAAATTGTGAGACAGACTCAAAAATCTTTGCCTAAAAATAATTATTTAACCTTTTAGAACATTTTCAGAATGCAGACTGTGGGTTGTTTAAGCTTCTGTTGGGTGATTTCTATTTCAAAACCAACCTTTATGCTTTTCTTTGTGATCGAGGGACATTCAGAAAAAAAGGAAAACCAAGATCACAGTCTGGATAATTGACACAGCCAAGTAATTCTAGAAGCAGAGTTCTATGGCACAAAATAAAATTAGARAAGCTGCCAGAAACCATGGGATTTTTTTATGCTGTTTAGTTCCTAGGGAAGCGATGAATTTCCAAAATTTTCTTCGTATTTTTGACAGCGAGACGCTTTACAGTGACAAACACCACAGGTTTAAGAGTGATGCTGTTTTTCTCTTGCCCTGTGGTGTTTGGGGCTGATCTTGAGGTGTTTTTTTTCCCTTTTTCTGCAGTGCCAGTACTGGAAGAAGGCGAGTGACCCGAACTGTGACAGTGAGAGGCACACGCTCTACGTGGAGTGGGCTCGCTTCCTGCGCTTCTACAAGGAGCAGCCTCTGGACCTCATCAGGTGAAAYACTTGCTTGAATTTCCTTGGTTTTCACTCTAAAGCAGTTTGTATTCATTTGGGATTTGATTCTACTTGGAAATTTTTTACTATTTTAAAGATCCCATGAGAGCTGTGCATTAAATGCGTCCTTGGAGGATGTGACACAGCTTTCTATAAGAACTAAAAAAAATGCTTTCTCTCAAATCAAGCCTCTTTCCATCTAGCCAGTCCTGCTGGGGTCAGGGATATTACAGATAATTCAGCTGTAAAGAAAAACATACCAAAAAAATTTCAGATTTTTTAATCACTCTCTGCGGAAAAAAAAGCAAAGATTTATTTGAAATGTTGTAATTTCAGCACAGACTTGAAAAAACACTGATAAAATCAGTTTGGAAGCTTGACTCTTAGTTCTAACCCCAAAAATTTAAACTCACCCAAGATCTCTTTGATTCAGCTTGTACAATACAACACAATTTTGYTTTGTTCACAGTTTCAGTTCCCTGTTTGTAACATGAGTGGTTGTGTTTCTGTGCATTTGTTCTAACTGTGTGATCAGAGCTGTTGTGCTGTTTCATTTGTGGAACTCTTTGGAAAAATCAGRAAGTAAATCTTCATTTATATTGTCCTGTGGAAAAGAGAGAGTGATTTTGGAGTTGGAGCTTCTGCTAGGAGAAAAAAAGGGACAAAAGAACCATTTTTCCTCATTATTCACCTTGTTCATGCAGCTCAAATAACTTCTCATGGCCAGCTTCAGATCTCATTTTCCACCACATTTTCAATGCATTTATTCTTTTATTAAAAGAGAATTTTGCCAAGTATTTAATTTTTGCTCTGGCTGGTTTGCTCAATTACAGTGTTARATTTTGCTTTGTATTTCCTGTTAATTGATATTTTTTTTTTGTACTCAGGAAGTACTATGGAGAGAAGATTGGAATCTATTTTGCCTGGCTAGGATTTTACACTGAGATGTTATTCCTTGCAGCAGTTGTTGGCTTAATCTGTTTTCTTTATGGCTTGTTTACCATGGATGAAAATATGAGCAGGTGAGTATAATGCTGAACATCTCCTGGGTAAAAGCTAAGCAATGTCCAAGTTTTATTCTTACAAAAAAAAAGCAGGAACAAGCTTTTAAAGCTTGTCAGAGCAGACAGATTTGTTCTCCTGCTGTCTTTATTGACTGAAAAMGTGGTAGACTGCTAATGCAGAACTTGTGATTATCAATTAATACGACTCAATTTGTACATGAAAAGCAATATTTTGGTGGCAATAGTTTCCTGCACTGGAGAACCTGCAATATATGAGGTCCTAAGTCAAATCTCTCAAAATTTTTAAGTGTTTTTGCCTTCAGCTTGTCTGTGTAATCCATCTTGCAGAGCAGTATGACCTTTTTGTGTAGGTCGTGGTTTGTGTTAAACAAAAACATGAGTAGCACAGATCAGCACTGTTCTCCCATCAAAGAGGGATCCAGTGTCTTAGAAGCCATAATTTTGGTTGTTTGGGTTTTTTTTTTTTAAATAAACACAGAATTTGTTTTATCAGAAGTCACAAGATTTACTCTATTCAGGGATTGGGGGTGGGGAGAGGAAAAGAGGGTTGACTTTTCATTGCTCACTGTTTTCTGTCAGAAGGCTTCCAGAAAATTTTTGAGTTTTAAGCATAGAAGATGAATTACAGGTTCAAATTCTGTTGAATGATGTAATTTTGAGACCTGTATTTTAGCTAGGTGAAGAATTCACCAGAGAATACTGCTATGCCTGTTTAGATTCCTCTGGGTGCTGAAGCACTATCACAGGATTGTAAACTTCACCCACTGCCTTTAAATTAAAGCAGCAGAGTTTACTGCAGGTGTCAAAGCTGAAATGGCATCTCTGCTTTTAGAAAAGGTGTTTTGATCTTCCTGCTGCCCTGATGAAAAATAACAGCCTTTAAATGCCACCTGAAAGCAGTGCCTGTGCAATGCAGCTCCTGGCAAACTCCTGATTTTCAGCTGATTGGGCCAGGAAGCCCAAACCCAGGGAATTGTTAATTTTTCTTCTTGCAAAAGCTGCTTCATTTCTTGTTTTCTTCATTTCTTGGCTTGCCCTGCCCAGCCACTGGATGTGATGAGTTGTGCCATCCTCGCTGTGACGCCGCAAGCGTCGAGCTCTGAACTGATGAATCTCTTATTTAACTTTTAAATAAATCTCATATAGCATTTCTGTGGAAATGGATGCTTTACACTGTTTTCCTCCTCAGCAAAGAAATCTGTGACCCTGCAATTGGAGGTGCCATCATCATGTGCCCACTTTGTGACCGAGATTGTGAATATTGGAGGCTGAACACCACCTGTGAGCCCTCGCGGGTCTGTATCTGCTGCTGCAGCCCCTTGTCATTTTTGTGTTCATCCTGACAATTGCTTTGGTACTGACCTGTTCCTGGCTGTTCTGTTGCAGTATTCCCATTTGTTTGACAACGTGGCAACTCTATTTTTTGCCATTTTCATGGGGATATGGGGTGAGTACGTTTGATGTGTTTTGTGTTGAGCGGTAAGGAGATCTTGGCTGAGGTGGAAGTGGGAAAAAAGGGAATAATGGCTTTGCTTTAGTACCCTGCCTCAGGTGCAAAAGTGATAGAATAGTGGAAATAATTTAAAGTTATTCAGAGAATAACTTAAGAATTATACAGAGGAATCAAGACTTTAAAAAACCCCAAAGGAAATCCAGCAGAGATGGAGGATGTCATAAGAATATCATAAGCATTGTGTGCTCTTAACTGCTAAGATTTTATTATTTCCTTTATAACCAGAGTGGTGCAGCCTTGTGCAGCCCAGGCAGGAGTTCTCTCTGTTAACCCCTGCACATTCTCAGGGTCCCTTTGAGAGGGTGGGGACCTTCACCTTCTGTGTCCTTTCTTTGGTGCTGGTCCATCACTGCTGCTCTATTAGCCACATTTCTGGGATGACAAAATTTATTGGCTTCTACTCCAGTGAACTTCATACATTGTAGTATGTTTTGATGATGCAGAAATTGGTGCGTTTCTGACCTCTATAATGATAGTTTCACACCATAGTTTTCACTATTTCAGATAGTTTCTGACACTTGTTCAGACTTTTAAGATCATGTTTTATTGAATACATTGTCTTTACTTCAACTGTCCAAGGTTTGTAAATGCAGGATAGCAATCTTACTGGTTTTGATTTCCTTAAATACATTTGTCTTGTTTCATACTGTTTGTGTGAAATATCGTAATTAAATCTTTGATTTGTATATGGATATTGCATTAATTCACAACAATTCCTGTGTGCTCATAGAAAACTCGTGTTATCAAAGGATCTAGCCACTCACTTTTTTCATACAGAGTTATTTTTAAAAATCTAAAAATATGATGTTGTATGGCTGTTTTAGTGAACTTTTCTTGGTTTCTAAGTGCTCCTGTTTGTGTGGCATGGATTAGTCATTCAGGAAGTACCAGCCAAAGAGTTTAGAACTGCAGAAGAYAAGCTTTTCTGTGTTTGTCTAAACTGTATAAACCTCTCCAGTTCAAATAATAGCAATCAGATTACAAAATGTTTACATTTTAGTTTAGAAAGGGCTCTTAAATTATTATGTGGTGTTATAAATTTTATAGTTGTTCATCTATGAAATCAGTTCCTTCTAGCATGTTAAAAAAATCCTTAAGCCAACCCAAATCTTGATCACATGAAAAACATCAGACATTCACTGTCTTTAAAATGACCATGATATCAGCATCAAAAAGCAACAGAAATCTTTGAACATACTACTTGAAAGCTCCTCTGCTTATTTGCTGTAGTAGTTATTTATGTGTTGTGGTTTTATGCACAGCAATTAATTGAATTATCAGGTTCTTAATTCCCTGTTGCTTTTTGCACAGGCAGAGTAGTTAAACTGTAATTGAACATGGTCMTTGTGACCATGGAAATACCAATATSTTGCCTTGTCATCATTCTGGAGCTCAATTAGGCAATAAATCACTAGATCAATATTGTGATCACCCGTGAACTGCAGAAGGGAGTCAGTGAAAATGGGTGAGTCCCACTGGGAGGATAAATGATAAACCACAGACAAGATGTTTAACTTGGTTCATGAACTTTCTCTCACTTCTTTCTTGACTCTTATTTTAACATTTTTGAATTGTAGTCACGCTTTTCTTGGAGTTTTGGAAGAGGAGGCAAGCCAGACTGAAGTATGAGTGGGATTTGGTTGATTTTGAAGAGGAACAGCAACAACTCCAGCTGAGGCCTGAGTACGAGGCAAAATGTACCCAAAAGAAGAAGAATCCCATAACTCAGGTAATGAACGTGCTGCACTGACCCCTCTGCAAATTCAGTTGTGTGCTGAAAGTTTCACAGCCTGGGAATGGATGTATGAAATCAGGAAAATAAAGGCAAAGTTTATGGCTTTGACACTGTTTTTTTTACAGTGCCTTCCACGTTTCTGGGTAGCAGTCTCTGAAATCTTTATTCCTTTTAAACCACTTTTTCTTATCCTGACACAACATGTGAAGAAGCAGTGGCCCTGAACTGAAGTCACAAGTGGGTCTGGCTTTGGTTTTGCTTCTGATGCACTTAATTTGGGGAACACAAATGAACAACTTCATTTGGGGAACACCAGAGAGATGAAGGTTGCTGAAATCCTTTCTCTGAAATCTTATGGAGACACAATCAGTGACCCTTTTTAAACTCTAGAAATACTAGATGTTGGTACTAATTTCAGTTTAATCTTATTTTAAGTAGGATTTATTTGGCAAATTCAGGGATCAGCTGGTTGCATTCCAACACAACATCTACCACCCCAGCTGGATGTGTTTTTAAATCACCTTTTCTCTTTTATAGAACTGCATATCAGTCGATTATTGCCACTGGTCTTGTGTATACTTTGGTAAAACAATCTTCAGAAAAGAAATAGAAGCTTAGCCAGAATGCTGAGTCTTTGTCACATGAAGAGTAGCCCTGTTTTTCAGGGCTTGTCTCCTTAACCATTAGGAAATACATAAAAATGATCTTATTTCTCAGGAGAGAGAGATTTTCCCTTCCACACAGGCAGCATTAATTCTGCTGCTGTTCTGTTGGGTGAGCTTGTGTAGCTGTCCTGAGGGAGAGGATTGTTCTCTCTCTGAATTAATCCYGATTCCTTAGGTGAGATAGGGTTTTTTTGAGCTTTATTTAGGGAATAAATAGCTATATTGGCCTGTTGTACCCTTGTCTTATCTCTGTGTGAGATACTGCACTCCTCTGTGCTTTCTAAGTGTGCATTAGTAATTGCCATCCAAATTGAGTGACTGTGCAAGCCTTTCTTTTATGGCCCTGAATTTACTGTCTCAGGGGTTTTTCAGAAGCAGCAGGGYTAGCAGTGACCCTTATCAGTACCCAGTTACAGGATAACCTGTGCAGATTAGCCACGCTGGAATTTCCTCCTTTTGGAGCACGTGCTGTACTGAACACGTGATGGGACAGTTCTTCCAAATAAATTAATTCTGCAGTAGCCCCTAAGGTTGTGTGAGTACAGGACAATGACTTTCTTGTGTCCCATAGTTGCTTTTGCTTCACTCAGAAAATTATTTCCTCATTATTCGCGATTCAAAATTCTAAAGTGGAACTGAAACCAAAATTGCCCATTTTGATTCTATAATAAACTCATTTGTTCATGATGCTAAGTCATCTAACTAGCTAAAATTATAGCTAAAATCTGCATTTGCTGATTATAATAATTCTAATTTGCATAAATAATGAAGCATTTGGTTCAAACTTAGGCTGTGATATTGCACATTGCTGCCTGCATTACATTTGGGATTGCACTCATCTGCAGTGCTTGGTGCCACTTGGTTCAAAAAAAGGAGTGTAAGCACTCTACGGTGCCCTGTCCCAAAGATTTAGCAAATTCAGGTTCTTTTTTGCTAGTTATTCTTCCACTGACATTAGTTCTTGAACAGGAGTTCCTTTCATAACATGTGCAATCTGATTTTTAGGAACTGGAGCTGGTTGCAAAAACTTCACACGAGTGTTAAAAGTTGTTCATGTGTTGAGTGGGGATACTGAGATAGAGCAATCTCTTCAACTAAAAATAAAACAATAAAACTGAAGGAGKGGAGAAAAGCACTCTCTGACTGGCACATCCCAACAACACTTTTCAGAAACCTCATAAAGAATTTATGAAACTTGAGTGCAGTTGTGCACTCAGAGCTGTTTGACAGCTAACCTGGCATTTCAGTAATAGTTCTGGCCTGCTCACCTCAGAAAGTTGATTTTTCCTTCAGCTACTGGCTGRTTTTGCAAAAGTTTAACCATTCCTTCCAGGTACTGTCTTCACTTGTAGTTTTATGGCCACTTCTGTCCTGATTTCTTTGCTCCCCCACCCTCAGCACACCCAAAATGATGTCCTTTCTGCCATTTTTGAGGGGCAGAGTTCTGGATGGCTTCCCTTGGCTGTGAGCACTTTTCACACAGCTGATGAGAGCTCTGTGTGCTGTCTGATGATGGGATAAGATTTGGGAAGGAGATGAACTGTGCTGTCTTTGACTCTTGCAGGAGATGGAGCCTTATTTGCCTTTAACCAGCCAGGCTGTGCGGTTCTGCATCTCGGGGGCTACAGTGTTGTTCTGGGTGAGCATCCTTTGGAATCATCCCTTTAACATTTATCAGAACCCCTGATCATTGCTTTAAATTACACATTCAGCTAGTTTTAATCATGATTGGTTTTAATAATGATTGGTTTTAATCAATATTAACACACGCTTTTACTGTTGTCCTGCAGATTTGATGTTGTCATTTAAAGTGCACTTTAATTCTTATAATTTTTTTTTTTTTAAAAAAAAGATGCTGGAAATTGCTCATTAATTAGTATTTCAATTGGATATTTTAGCATAGGGATAACTTTCTCTGTGACTAATTTGCTGTTACAGAAAAAACTGTAGTAAAGGCAAATAAAAAAAAAAGAATTCACACTAATGAGTGCGGGGTGACTTTCAGAGCGGACAGTTTAATCCAACTTGTCCTTTCCATCTCCATTTCTGAGTCTACATTCTTCTGCACTCATTCAGATATTGATATTAGATTGCTTTTGTTATATTAATAATTTTGTTGGTTTTAATGTAGACAACACAACAAAGTACTTTACTGAACTCACACCCGCAAAGCGCGACGGTTCAAAAATTTGAAAAACGCAAAGCGTGACGGTTCCCGTATCATTTTTAAAGCTGTAGTGCTGTTTTTAGAGCTGCATTAGGAGTGTAACTGAGCTGTCCCTGTTATCCCCAGGTGTCCCTGATCATAGCCAGCATGATAGCTGTGATCGTGTACCGCCTGGCCGTGTACGCCGCCTTCGCCAGCCTGATGGAGAACACGCAGACCCTGGAGCCCATCAGCGGCTTGCTGACCCCTCAGCTGGCCACCTCTGTCACTGCCTCCTGCCTCAACTTCGTCATCATCATGATCCTCAACTTCTTCTACGAGAGGATTGCCATCTGGATTACTGATATGGGTGAGCAGGGGTGTTTAGGGGGTTGTTGGGGGTAGAGCCCGTCGCGGTGTGTTCTGTGTGGTTATTCTCAATTTGGGTATTGTGGTGTTCCCACAGCCACCCTGAACATTCCCCCTGCATTTCAGCATCCTCACAGCCTGGTTTATCTTCATAGAACGCTTGCTTGTATTAAAACTACCCCCAGAGACAATCACAGACCTTAACACAGTTAAAAATTACCTTGTAAAATGTTAGAGCCACCAAAGCAAGGTCAAGCTGTCTTGATCTAGCAGTGGTTCAGTTAGAAATCTTGCAGATGCATTTTTAAAAGTAGATCACAGCCATCTTTACAAGAAAAAAACAACCTAAATAATCACAGGAGTCAAGGTGGGACAGGACACTATATTTTCCATTTTTTCTGAGCTTTGTTTCCCTTTAGCTCTGGCTGTACTGATTTGGAGTTACACAGATGGATGGCAGAGGTTGAGCAGGATCAGCAGCTGTGYCCAGGATGAGTTATTGTGGCAGTAACCATTGATATCATGTCCTGCAGTAACCTCACTCCAGAGCTGGAGGCCCAGGAAGAATAACCACTTTTGGAGTATTTGATGTTTGACTTTTGCTTGAATGCTGGAAATATCCTTTCTGAGAGCCCTTCTTACATATTTTCTTATTTTATTTTATTTCATTTCATTGTATTTGTCCTTAATGATTTAGAGACGCAAGTCCCTGCAGGTTTTTTGTAGAAAGAAATAATTGCAGAATATATTCAGCTTGGGGAGGGGATATTTCAATTTGTGCAGTTGTTATAAAAATAGTGCATTGATCWTTTTTTATGAGAACTCACAAGTAGAGTCAAGAATTGAAAGGTTYTCCTTGCAGAAACTTAGAGGGGTGTTGCATTTGGTTTATTTTGGTTTATCACGGGCCATCTCTTGAATGCTTGTATTGTGTTTTTTTTTGTGCTTCTTCCCAACTTGAATTGGTTATCATTTAATGAGATATTTGATGACAATATGCTTAGGGCTTCCTGCTGCCTTGRAGGATAGAAATGTGATGGACAATGAGCAGCAAAAGGCAGCAAAATCCTCAGCAAAGGTTTGGTGATGTTCAGTACCTCTGAGGTGCCTGAACTGTCCCCATCAGCCATCCAATTTCTGCTGATTTTTGGAAAAAAATATTGTGACATACTTCTCTACCACAAAGGATAAAAATAACACGTGTTGCTAACAGGGAGATTTTCATTCTATAGGAGATCCTGCCAGTTACTGTTTGAGATTAATTTTGGTTCTCCTAAAACAGTGTAACATTTGGGGATGGACATGTGCTAATGGACAGTACGAAGAAGGGAAAGTTAAAAGTTTATGAAAGTTTTAAAATAGGAATTTCCTTTGTTTGTTTGTTGCATTGTAAAGTAAGGACAGGGTGTCTGAGAGCAGGAACCCCATCTGCATTGCTGAAATGTTTGGGGGTGTTTTTCTTTTCTTTTTTTTTTTTTTTTTCCTTTAAGGTCACTGTGCATGACGGGTATTTATGAATCTGTATCCTTTTAAAGGAAATAAAGAAACATACATAAAATAAACAATAAAATCGTTGTTTTCTGGTTTCACAGAGATCCCCAGGACTCATATGGAGTATGAGAACAGGCTCACTATGAAGATGTTTTTGTTCCAGTTTGTCAACTACTATTCCTCCTGCTTCTACGTGGCYTTCTTCAAAGGGAAGTTTGTTGGTTACCCAGGTGGTTACACATACATGTTCAGTCGCTGGCGAAATGAAGAGGTAAGACTTTCTTAATTGAGCTGGGCTGTTCCCCTTCAGCCTGCCCAGACTTTAATTTCCAGCTGCAGGCTTGGTCTGAGCTGGGCTGGAYCTCAGCTGGCTGATGGTGGGGTTTGCAAGGACTCTTTGTGCTGTATCAGAGAAGCACCAGCAGTGCAAACCCAGAGACTGAAAAATCATAAAGCTTTTCTGGGTGCCAGTTCTCCTAAAACAGGCTTTAAAAACAGAGTGTGGTGCTGAGAGCTCCCTGAGTGCCACAGATTCACCCTCCTGGGGCTGGGGGTGAAGGTCCTGCTGAAGCATCTCTGAATTTCTCTCTTTTCAAATGGTCATTGTGTTTTGGCTGTTTTGTCTCACATTTTAACCACTGAAAGCCCTTCTGTAACCTCTTTCCTGAGTGGGTAGCTCAGCTGGCAGTCCAGGTGGAAATTGAGCACTGTCCTGACAAGTTTTAAAATCTCTTTTTTGCGTTTCTACAGTATAGAATCTGGTTTATCTGGGTGATAACCATAATTAAACCCCTGTTTATCTCCACCAGTGTGACCCTGCGGGCTGCCTGATAGAGCTGACGACACAGCTCACCATTGTCATGGCTGGCAAACAGATCTGGGGGAACATCCAGGAGGCCATTGTCCCGTAAGTGCTCCCTGACTGACTTTTGGAAGGAGTGATTGCCACCTGAAAAGATGAGAATTCTGTGAATTAAGCTTTCATAGCATTTTGTGAATTAAGCTTTTTAAGTTCACACTCATTTCATGGAGGTTTTTGGCCTCTTTTGGTGAAAGCTGTGCTTGTATTAAGGAGYTTGCTCAGAGAAGGGGAGATTTCACAGAATACTCAGAGTGGGAAGGGACCCACAARGATTGAGCMCAGCTCTTGAGTGATTGACCCATAAAGGGACTGAACCCACAGGATTTGGTGTTTATCAGCACCAGGCTCTRACCAAGTGAGCCAGTCTGGTCTGCCTCTCTCATTTTTAACATTTTCCTCCGTGTACAGATGGATTTGTAACTGGTGGGGTCGTCGGAAAGCCAGAAATAATCCCGAAAATTTGTACAGTCGCTGGGAGCAGGACCACGACCTGCAGACATTTGGACCCTTAGGCCTGTTCTATGAATATTTAGAAATGGGTGAGTTTAAAATCACACATTTGGAATCGAGGGCAGGACACCTTGTAGTGTCACTTTCCGAAGAACATCTTGTCCATTAATTGTTGTGGGTTGATGGCACTGCTTTCATCTGCATAGCAGTGAATGATTAACTGCTGGAAATCGTTTAATAGGTCAGCCTAATTAAAAAAAAAAAAAAAAAAAAAAGAGCTGTCTTAGCATCTTGAGCTGCTGGGAATTTCACAGAAACACTGCAAAGACTATTTGTTTTCCTCATTTGAATGGGGAGCATTATTCTCAGTGCAACCAGCTGCCTGGGTGTCTGTTCTTTTCTTGTTCCAAAGCATATTTTGAGCTGATGCCAGTGGAAATTTTAARTGTGGGAAGGGTGCCAAATGTGGTGTAAGGATGGGTACTGCAGGCATGAGATCTGTGAACTGGCATGGGGAGGGAGAATCCCTTCGGTTTTGCTGCTGTTCAGCCCCTTAAACCAGCAGAGGGAGTGTGGGTAAGGGATTAGGGGTTTTCAGAGGAAATGTGAACACRTCAGCCTGTAAGAATCGTTTACAAAACCTGAGAAAATGAAACTAAAACTGAAGCTGAGCTAAATCTAAAAGGAAGCTTTCAAGAAAACAATACTTGGCTACTACAAGGACACGTTTTGTGGGAAAGTGAAACCTTTGTGTTGTTTTATTTCTGCAGAAATAATTTTAAGTGCTCTAGAGTTGTGTAGCATTATTATCACTTGAAATTGGTACAGGGCTGTGGTCTTGTGAAATTAATAAACTCAGAACATTCRCTGTTGCCAGCTACATCTTCCAGAATCAGAACTGAGCCACTCTGCTCCAGCACTGCCCCAGGGCTGCTAAGCTAGCAGGAATTTTGTTGCTTGACTAAGGTGAAGAATTTACCACTGAAAACATTTATTTTTATCCACTGCCTAAACCAGACAAAATGTTCTGTTTCCTTTATTTGAAATGCTGTGGCAGTGTTGGCTGTGCACTGAGSATTGTCACGTTCTGTACTGAGATATTTCACTTTGGTAACAACTGCAAGGATCATTTATGTGTTTTATTTGCAATTCTGAAACGAAATTTAAACAAATTCCTTAAACGGATTTAAAAATAAAATTCTTAAATGTTAAGACTCCCCAGCAGAACTATTGCATATAGAATTGGTATGAATGTTTTGACTAAATYAGTAAAAATAGGTGGAGGTGAGGTTGTGAGGAGTGTAGTTGATAAGTAAAAGGAGAACAGGATTGTTCTACAAACTGCAGGAGAACAAAACTGAGAAATTTGGTGGATGAGTACATCCCAATTGGCCTAAATCACATGGGAATCCCATGGGAACTGCAGTAGCTTGACAGGATTGGAATCCAGCACTGCTGAGCATCATCTCACAGACCCCAAATGCCCATTYCTGTGGGTGCTGCTGAATGGCAGCCTGAAAGGGCTGGAGAAACCTTGGACTGGGGCTGACTGTCCCTTATCTCAGGGCTGGAGAACACATCCTGTGCAGAAATTTGCCATTTTTTTGCCAGTGGTAGCACCATTTGCCTCGTCACTCCGAGGATGCCTTCCAAAGGGCAGATTTTAACACTTTTCTTTTTGTCCCTGGCAGTCATCCAGTTTGGATTCATCACTCTCTTCGTGGCATCCTTTCCCCTGGCTCCCCTGCTGGCTCTGATGAACAACATCCTGGAGATTCGAGTGGACTCCTGGAAGCTGACCACTCAGTACAGGAGACCCGTGGCTGCCAAAGCACACAGCATAGGGGTGTGGCAGGAGATCCTCAATGCCATGGCCATCCTGTCTGTGGTCACTAATGTGAGTTCCATCAGTGTGCTGCACCAGCACAGTTGGTGTTTGAGTTGGTTTTGAGTCCTTCCATGCACTGGAAATTTGATGGATTAAAAAGCAGCTGGAGTTTTTTTTCTCTTTCCTCAGCTYTGTGTCATTTTACCCTGCAGAGATGCCATCAAACCATTGTGAATGGTTTGGCTTGTCCTGTGCAGCTCCTAATAAAATCCACATTTTATKGGCCATAACCTTTCATTCAGTTGTCTGTGTTTCCCAGACTTTTGGAATGGTTTGAGCCAGTCTGAGACTCGGTCTGGTGAAGCACAGAGGGAGCTGTAGGGGACAGGAAAGGTGGATGAATTATGTGGGTCATTTTTGTACTTGTCACTGTGTTGACAGCCTGTTGTGTGGGATTTTTTTTTTTTTTTTTTTAAAGAAAGAGTGATAAAACATTGGAATGGGCTGCCTGGGGAAAGGGTGGAGTCACCATCCCTGGATATGTTTAAAAAAAGATTTGGATGTGGCACTTGGTGCCATGGTTTAGTTGAGATGCTGGGGCATGGATTGAATTCAAAGATCCTGAAGGTCTCTTCCAGCCCTAATAATTTTGTGTTTCTGTGAGTTCTGCTCACTCAGCTGCTTCTGGATGCCCCTGTGGGAGCAGTGGCTCCAAGGATTTTTTATAAATTGGTAACTCAATGCCTTGCCAGTATTTCACTGGAAGTATATTGTAAAGCAGATAACTGAGCAAAAAAAATTCCTCTCTCAATGATACTTCTCACCCTTTCTTAAAAGATTCTGGGTAATACCAGAATYACAAAACCACGATCCCTCTATAAATCTGCTCACAAATTCTGTTTTTCTTTCTTAATTTCTTTTTCCCATTTCTTTCCAGGCTTTTATCGTTGCATTCACATCAGATATGATCCCTCGTTTGGTGTACTACTATGCTTATTCTGAAAATGACGACTCACCTATGTCTGGATACATAAACAACAGTTTGTCAGTGTTTCAAATCTCAGATTTTCCTCCAGGCAAGAAACCTAAAGAGAACCCAGAAGACTTTGTGGTGTGCAGGTTGGTGTAATAATAAATATTTTATCACTTTGTTTAGAATGCAGCATTAAAAAAATCCACACGGATCTAAGCAGTCCGTTAGAAATTAAATTATGTCATTTGTACATTCTCTTAATTCTAAAGTGTGAGAGGTAATAGGCTCTTAATGAGGTAATGCTTGAGGARGTAAGAGTTCAAGCCAGTAACAAAAAAAAAAAACCTCAAAAAAAAGATCACTTAAAAAAAAAATCACCACTGAGAGTCTCATTGCTAACGTGCATTTGGCTTTTTCTTCTTTGGATTATTTTTTTTGTTTCCTTAATTAAACTATAGTTTTTTGCGTGTCAAAGGAAATTTGCGTCCCTAAAGGTGCAAATTTCAGCCTCTATTTCTGAAGGTTTTTAGACTACAAAAGTGGAGAGGGAAGCAGAATAAAGGGGATGTTTGGATTTCAAAGCTGAAAATGAGCTACAGTATTTAAAAATCGATCCTTATTTTTCCTGATCGGACTGATCATCAGACCCCTCCTGCTTTCATTTAAATTATAATCCTTTCTTGCTAGCAGGAGTGTTGGAGATTCACTGGAGATCAGAATAATTGCAAAAGAACTTTGGAAAAGTCAGTCTGTGGTTAAAGAAAAGTATTGATTTTATGAAAAAAACTCAAAGCAAACAAACAAAAAAAAAAAACCCAAAACAACCAGCCCAGCACTTCCAGGAGCAGCTACATTTGTTTGGTGGTGTGGAACATGTACTAAAATCTGTCTTTTTGTGAAACCCTGCATCTGTCCAGGGTTAATATCTGTCATGTTTATCCAACATGTGCCCATTACTCTGTGATACATCCCATAATTCAGCTCTGTGCTGTATTATTTGATCATTGCCTGAAGAACAAGTCACCTGCACACCAAATTCCACCCGTCACACATCCTCATCTCTGCTCCCTCGCTGCCAGAGCGTTTAAACAATCACAACGAGAGAAACAAACTGAGAGGCAAAGGGAAACCAGACCTTTTGAAACAAGGAAAGGTTCCTCMAGTGACATCTTGTAAGTGTCACCGAGCTTGTAATCTGTCCCAGGCTGATGGTGACATTTCACCTTTGGTTGTCTGTCATTCCAACAGGTACAGGGAYTATCGGTACCCTCCGGATCACGAGAAGGAATACACCCACACTATGCAGTTCTGGCACATCCTTGCTGCAAAACTGGCCTTTATCATTATTATGGAGGTATGTTCCCCGCCAAATTTCCATCTGAAATTGGTACCTTGTGATTTCTTGGGTAGTTGCTAATGTTAACAGAAAATAGAATTGCTGGGAGTATAAAATGATTTGTTCCCTTGGTGCTCGTGTCCTAAATGGTTGCATTTTAACTTCAGTGAGCTGACCTCAGAGTAGGAGCAGTGAAAGGGGCTGAGGAGGCTGCTAATGTTGAGCAAAATAATCAGCAAAATGAAAAAGGGTCTTTCTGGCAGTGGAAGGCATGAAAACCACCAGAACAAGCACTCCCAGTCCTCTTGCTTTCGTTGAAGAGCTGTGTGTGAGATGAGTGCATGCAAAACCCAGGCAGTGTTTTGCAGTGATGGATATTGGTGAAAAACAGCAAAATCRATAGTTTGTTTTGAAAGTTCTGAAAGGAAAAGTGAGTAGATAAAATGCTCCTCTCATCACTTTTCCTGCTGTGTTTTATCAGCTCTCAACAGCTGGGTGTTGTCAGCACAACTGTGTGAACTTTCTGGCAAACCACACAGAGAACYTAGGAAGTGAAGATTGAGGTTCAGGCCCTGACACTTTTGGGTTTGCTAAGTCATTAATGGTTTGGAATGAAAATTTCTGCATAAGGGGATATATTTTAATCTTCACGCACATCTTAGATATTCATTAATTTGGGATGCATTGTTCCAGGACAGCCAAATGAAATTTATTCGTATTTGTGAACAAAAAGTGACCTATTTGGTGCCAGACAAAACAAGAGGTGTTTCATTTGGTAATGAGTTGTTACTTAATTTTTTATTTCTTTTAGCACGTCGTATTCATTGTCAAGTTCTTTGTGGCGTGGATGATTCCTGATGTTCCTGCAGACGTGAAAGCCAAAATAAAACGTGAGAAGTATTTAACACAAAAAATCCTCCACGAGTATGAACTTGAAAAACTGAAGGAGAGACTGTGCCAAGGTGACAAACAAGCCACAGAAAAAGAGTTCATTGCCACAGAAGGGAGAATGGAGCTATCCCGAGCCATGTAGCCAGAAACCCAACTTTGTTTGGGATTTAACTCRTTTTTAGCTTTTTTGAATCTGTGGTTTGCTCAGTATGCATCATGTTGGAAGCTGYAGGGGAGTTCAACCCTTCTCTTTCAGTCCAAAGATTTGAGACTTTTCTTTAAAAGCTTTACTGAGCTTTCAAGGTTTAGGAAATCGACTCAACTGTGTATGATTTTGACACTGGTTTTTATTTACCCGTGACTTTGAATATTTAATGTCATCTTGTAATCCTAGAATCTGGACTCCTGATATAGGGACTGTTAACCTCAAAGGGCTTAAAAAGGTTGAAACCACCAAGCCCCCTTCTTGTTGTTAATTGCAACATTTGAATCTGTATCCCAGCTGGCTGAAAAAAGAGGACCACTGTTGTGGAAAATGCTGGGAGTTATTATTTTTACTGTGTGGTCATTTAAACAGAACACTCCCGATACAAGGATTAAGGTTTGGTTTTTTTTGGGTTTTTTTTATGTTCACTGTGTCTTATGAAAGATTGATTTGGACTTCTACACATTTTGTAGAAGGAATTGATTTTTAAAGATGTATTGGCTTAATTCCGCTTGGAATTATTTATAGGCACAGAATTGAGTTAATGCATACTAGTGAAGGAAAAAAAAGCCATAATTAATTTTCATTAAGATACAATTTACTCTTTAAACACAAATATTGTGGAATCACCTAATTGCAGTGGGTTTTGAAGAGAGGCATACAATTTGGAGAATTMCAGTTATTTAATTTCTCCTTCTCAAAAACTGCCATTGGAAGATGATGTTTGACCTTGTTTTTGGCCAAAGCTGCTCCTTTATTTATTTCTTTGGATTCTCTGAATGCAGCAAAGGGCTAAAGCTGTGTGTCTGTCCCTGATGCATACTATGGACTGTTCCTGCACTCCATGGGAGCTGGACCACCAGTTGATCCAGCTGGATGGTTTGCTCTTGGATTTTTATCCAAAAGACTTTAAGCATGCCAAATAATCTGTGTTTATGCTGTTATTGTTGTTGTATGTACTAGTTTTGTTTCTTTTTAATTTCTTTTTGAATCTTTGGGAAGGATTTTTTTTTTCCAGTTTTGTTAGGTGGCTTTTCTACAAAGTTTATAAATGTGTAATAACTATTTGTGCAAAGTAGCTTCCAGCTGTTCAAGAATGTGCCCTCACTTTCCAGCTTGAAGCAATTAGGCATTTGTATGATTTTGCTGTATATTTAAAACATATCAASGCTGCCATGCTTAGTGCCTTATCTGCATTTGGCAAAAGGTGTGAAAATGATCTCTGCAGGGCAGTGCCTGTTTCCAGAATGTTCTTGCAGTCACCAGGATGCTGTGAACCTGCAGACAGAGCTGTTCAGTGCCACCAAGCCACGCCTGCCTTGGCACACTTGTGTTTCAGTGCCACGTGGACTTTTTTWGAGAGCAGTTCATGCCTAGACTGCAGATCCTTGAGTTCTCCCATGCTGAACACACAAGGCAGACAAAATTAGACAATTTTGCTCTATTTGCACTTTGAGAGTGATACTTCCTCGYGAGTATACACTTAAAAATCAAGATTTGTGTTCCACGTCGGCTGAATGCTGTACTGTTTACTAGTGCCACAATTTAGGGTGTTGTGTTTTCTGCCTCTTGGAGTACCTGGCGAGTAACCTTGATGTTGTAGCAGTTTTCAATCAATGTCCTGAGTGGAGCTGATGTTAGGATTAATATGAAGTGCCTACCTCGAGCACACATCACGGAGTTGGGCTGCCAGTCAAGGAGTTGATGCAGATGTACATTTCTTTTTACTGTAAATTATTCACCTTCATCCTCTAGGTTTGCTCAGTCCGTCAAGCATGCTGGCAATTCATGCTCATGATGAACTGATCATGTTCTTGAATATTCAGATGTGTTTGAAGGGGTGGACGTGCTGGAGGAATGCATGTGTACATAAATTAGCTCTGCTGCTTAATGTGCAAGCCAAAGAAAAATATCAGCCATCAGTGTAAACACATCTCCAGCACCACAATGTGCTGCATCTTGCACATATCCTGCTAATTAAACTGCTTAATTTGGTGGTTTTATCACTGTTGGCAGTGCAAACARTGATGGGATGCAGAAGGATATTTCTGTGCCAAACGCACAACCTGAGTGAAGCTGAAAACAGGTCTGGAAATTCAGTGTTTGATGCACTATTTCTGCTTATGGCACATGAGTTTCTTCAAGTAATAAAGTGTCCTAATATACTGCTCTTGAAAAGATATCAGCAAAATAGGTGTGTTTTGGATGAACAATGCTGTTTTAAAAGCAAGATGGAGGAGAATAAGAAAACATATTTTTTTGAGATGCAGCATTGATATGCAGAAGCCCTGCATGCTGAYCCTGAATTTGAATTGATGTTTTGACTCTTATTTTGTGCTACTTTCAAACTTACTTTTTAAGATCACTTGCTGTTTAATGCAGTGCAAACAGATGTTTTGTATATGTTGTACCATACAAGAGAAAATGGAAGAAACCCCGGGATCAGCTTAAATAGAAAGAAATWTAAAWAWATATATATATATCTTAAAAAGATGTCATTACTTCATAGTATTACTTCTTCATATACAGAAACTGTACAGAAAAGAGACTGTTGTTGTATTAAAAGTTAATATCATCTTTTTACATAATAGCAAAAATTTGCCTTTACTTGCCATTAAGCAGTGTTTTGATTAAAGGCATCAGTATGGCTGGGTTTATAATGGTTCACATAAATTTCCTGAAGCATTCTTGAAAATTAACRAAAGTGAGAAGGCCTGCTCAGTTTGGAGATGTGCTGATTCTYGCTCTTGGAATATTTCATTTTGATACAATTCAATATCTAAAAGTGTCCTTTAACCAAAGTGAAGAAAGTTCTGTGTTGAAGTTACTGTAATTTAATCAACAATAGATTGCCTCATTAGAATTAGTTACAAAATCAAAATTGRCCTTTCAGGTGTAATACAATCAGGGATTTTTATTTTATTTTTTTTTTTTGCAATTACAATTTAGGTTGTTTTTTTTTACCTTGGGGAAGATTGAGTGTGGTATGTTCTAAGCAAAGGACTGCAAAAGAAGAGTGCTACTATGAAACACTATACTGTTTTTTTTTTTTTTCCTAGGAAATTTTTTTTACTATGCTTTTACTTCTCTGTGTAATGCTGTCAGTTTGAGGCAAAAGAAAGGAGTGAAAATAAATGGACTTTCTGACTATCTTACATGTACCACTTGTTTGACTTGTACTGTCATGTAACCTGAGTGTTTTTGTCTGCTGAATATGTTGCTGATGTATCTGACACACTAATGATGGAATAAATTTTTTAAACGTTCTGCTAACATTTAATATGCACATTTAATAAGACCTGAATCTAGCCAATAAAGCTGTGTTCATTTTTAACGTGCTTSTGTGTGGAACTTCCAAGAATCCCGAGAGGAGCTGAAATACTAAAAGTTAAAATGCCTGGAGAGAAGAATTCCTACAGATTTCTGCAGCTCACACTGTGTTACGTTCACACAGCTCCATTTTCAGCCAGGCTGCTTGTCCCTGCATGGTCTGGGTGCAGTTTTTATCCCTTTTTATCCCTTTTTATCCCTTTTTATCCCTTTTTATCCCTTTTTATCCCTTTTTATCCCTGCCATGCCAGCACCTGAGGTGACTTCTCGAGTTCTCAGTCACACATTTGTATCCTTTAAATAGCTTGGAGCATTTACATGGGGGAAGATGGCAGGGCTGAAGCTTTCTCAGAGATTGGGAAAGTCCTGCTGCACAAATTCTGACCTTTCTTAAAACTCACTTCGGGCTTGGATCACAGGGAATTTGGGTTGGAGCTTATGCCTTGTTCCCAATAAATGTTTTCTTCTTTTCACCTCTCCTTTCCTCCAGGAAGAACAGGGTCACCTGCCAGACTTTCAAAGTTACATTTCCATTGTAACTTTGAAATTATAAACTTTTAGAGACATGCAGCAGCAAAAATTAAAGGTATGAGATGAATAAAATTGTTTTCTGTATTAAAAAAGGAGAGAAAAAAAAAAAGACCAAAACAGGCAAGGTGTAATTTTGTATTATGGTATCACCCCTGTGCTCGTTACTGAGGTGAGATAGGGTACTTTAACCTGGTATCAAAAGGAAAATTAAAGAATTTAAAATGGAGCAGAAATTGGTAACGAAGGAAAGAGAAAGGGGGAAAACAATGAAGGAAGGTGCTGTTTCAATTTATATTTATTTATATTTATATATTAAGTTGGGAGTTTTCAGGTGCCTTCAGGCTTTGCTCTTGGAGGTTAAATCTTGCCTCCACTGAGGCCTGTGGCAAATGGGTAATTTAAATTTAAAGTTTAACTGGGGATACAATGTCTTCCACAGCCAATTATATTTCATAAAAAAAGAGTAGCGTGGTCGCTTGTGAGATATTCACAAATTCTGGTACAAATCTGGCTCTCCACGTGRTTAGAAATTGTAGCTACCCTTCAAAAGTCTTAATTCCTTCCTTMAACTTGTGCAGTGAGTGAAGAGATGCCCCAAAAGTCAGTGGGTGTGCTTTMTGAATCAGAAAAATAGGTAAGGCATCTATATCATCCACCCAGATTAAAGAGTCTTTCTAAAAATAAATCCATGTTTATTCTAGTGAAAATAAAAAAAAAAATCTGTAGGGAGCACTGAAATAGAAGACATTTTTTCCAACATTTATGTCTCAAATGGTGTAAAATAGGTTGTCTTGGAGGAGTAGAAAAACAAGTAACCCGTTCAGCACCTGGAATCTGCCATTTGTTTGAAATGTGCAGGCTCTGAAACAAATCAAAYATGGTCTAATATTCCTCAAAATGTTGGAAATTAATAGAAAAGCAATGTTTCTGAAGATAATGTCTTAGATGTTTAGGGCACAGGGGGTCCTAAGACCTGGTGTGGTAGAGATTGTACCCAGAGAGGGGAAAGAAATCCTTTCTTCCCTCCACAGATAGAAAAAAGAAAAGGGAGAAAAAAAATAAAAAAAGAATGATCATTGCCATATGAAGGATAACAAAATTCTTTCCAGACTGTATGAATTCCTGTGTAACCTCATTGAGCCACAGCTCCTTTTTTTTCTCTGTCTGCCTTGCTCAGGGTGGTCACAACAATTCTTGGCTGGGCATCCTTAAAAAGGAGCAGCTAAACTAAATCTCATTCTGGTTTTAAATAATCAGTTGTCTTAACACAACACTTGCATCATTCAGATGCAACTCAGGAAGGGGTTTTTTTTTGTATTTTTTTTTTTAAGCAAGTACTGAGAAATCTGCTGGGAGATGATGAGTAGGATGTGAAATTCAGCAGCCCCATCAATTTTTGGAAGTTGCATACGCACATTCCCCTGCAATAATTAGTGACTCTGCTTTCTCAGTCAGAAATGAGTCAGTCTGATACATTTGATAAGGGTAGGATTCTTTTGAATTATTATTATTTTTTTTTCCAGCTCAACAAACCAGTGGTGTTAGCTTGTCAGGAACATTTGTATTTAAATTATTGACTGACCTCACTGGGCCCTTGGGTGTTCAAAGCCTCCAGCACCATTCAGCTTTTCACTTTTGAAAGGTGCAGAGGCCACAGTAACTGTTTTCTGCCATCAGGAGGCACAAAATAAATGATCTTTGTYGTTGTGTTGGCCTTTCCTTATCCACAGCAGGTTGGAAATTCTCCGTGTTGTGGGTTTGCCTGGCCCACACCAATTTTTTTGCAGCAATTAAAAGCTGCAAAAGTGGGAAAGCTCTGGCTCAGATGGGCCCTAGTTTCTTGTGTCCCCCATGCTGGTGGAAATGAGGTGGATAAGCATGGAGTATTTGGGAAAAAAGCTAATAAATATGTGAAACAGAAATTGCCTTCAACCCCTGCAAAAAGCTTAGTGAGGGTCTGCTCTCGGGCTGATAACCTTCCTGTGGAAAGGAACT